TCACTCAGCATAATGTCCTCCAGGGTCACCCATTTTGAATAATATTACATGAGTTCCTTGTTTTTCAATGCAGCATAGTATTCCATTGTGTGAATATACCACAGCTTCTCTACCCATTCATTTGTTGATGGGCACCTAGGTTGTTTCCAACTCCTTGCTATTGTGAACAGAGCTGCGATAAACATGGGTGTGCATATATCTGCTTGGATGTCAGTTATGATCTCTTTGGGGTATATTCCCAGTAGTGGAATTGCTGGGTCAAATGGTATCTCTATTTGCAACTTTTTGAGAAGGCGCCATACCGCCTTCCACAGTGGTTGCACCATTTTACACTCCCACCAACAGTGAATAGGGTTCCAGTTCCTCCACAACCTCACCAGCATTTGTTGCTTGCTGTTCTGTTAAATTTTGCACTTCAGAGTGGGGCGAGATGATATCTCATAGTAGTTTTGATGTAATTTGTCTTTTGATTTCCTGACTGCTGGTACCAACAGTGTTGTATTCTGGTGGCTTAGTGGTAAGGAATTACACTTCCAAGGCAACGGCATGCAGTTCCAATCTACCAGTTGCACTGCAGGAGAAAGATGTGCAGTCTCTTCCCATGTGATTAACTGTCTCTGAAAACCTGCTGGAGGATCAGCTATAGATCTGTTTTTACTTGATGATACAAAACAAGTCACCTTTAAGTCACTCTGTTGTCATTGTTAGATGTTGTTGAATCAACTATGATGCATAGTGACCCTTTGAGCAAAAGATCTGAACCTTGCCCAATCCTGTGCCATCATCACTCCATCTCATTGAGGGTCTTCCTCTCTTTTACCGACCCTCTCCCAGGATGATGTCTCTCTTCAAGGGCTAGTTCGGCCTGCAAATATGCCCAAAGTATGTGAAATGAATTTTCCCCATCCTCGCCTCTAAGGAGCATTCTGGTTGCACTTCCTTCAGCACAGAATTGTTTGTCCATTTGGCAGTCCATGGTATAGTCAATACTCTTTGCAAACACCACAATTCAATGGCATCGATTTTTCTGTCATTCTTATTCATTGTCCAACTTTCAGACACAGAGCAAGTAATTGAAAGTACCATGGCTTGAATTAGGCACACCTTGGTCTTTAAACTAAAATCCTTACTCCTTAGCACTTTGCAGAAATCCTTGACAGCAGATTTGTCAATTCAATTCATTGTTTGATTTCTTGATTGCTGCTACCATGGGGATTAATTGTGGATCAAAGTTAAATGAAATAGTTGACAACTTCAATCTTTTTCCCCATCTATCATGATGTTACCTATTGGTCCAGTGGTGAGGATTTTCAGTTTTCTTGCTGTGAGATATAACTCATATTGACTCACAATTAAAAAACTCGAAGTCATATTGTACACCAGTAAATAGTTTAAGACCATTTTGTCTTAGGCATTGGGTTCTATCACCTCCCTATTCACACAAAGCTGATGCTTATTATGTTTCTTTATAATTGGCTTGCCTGTTTTGCGTGCTCAGTGTACAGTACTTTGCAAGGAATCTTCCAGAGTCTGGGACTTAGTTAATGGTCATGAATCATGCAGGAGGCTTCATGGAGCTGAGGGCTTTCCCTGGATCTTCCTGGTGAGAGGGAAGGAGGAGAGGCTGGGAGTATCACCATTGTTTACATTGAGTTTTCTTCCTTTCTGTCTTCATGTTTGGGAGTCATCGCCATCACCCTCTGGAATGAAGAGGTCGTGTAACCCAAGCCCAATGGCAAAGTTCTTGCTAATGAGTGTTGTGATATACAGGAAGGAGCTCATGTAGAACATTTTCACTGATTTGGACAAAACGGCACCACTGTGTATAACAACGGTGCCAAGGTCAACCTGAGCTGCCTCGTTAGGTAGAGACATCACCACCTTTCCTCAAGCTTGACCCGCTCCAGAGAGCCTCAGAGGGATGGTAACCAAAGGCAACCAGCTGGTGCTCCAGGCATCATCTCCCAGTTCCACCTGCAGCTTGGACACTAGACCCCACTCAGGCATTGGGGTCTTTTTTTTTTACTTCAGTGAACTTTTAAATATTTTTTTTTACAAATACATTGGAGAATCATGCAATGCTGTCAGCATTGGATGCAATCCTGGGCCTCAAGTCTGCACACTCCTTTGCAACTGGTCCAGTGATGGCAGAACCTTTCATCTCGCCTTTATTGTTTGCTATGACTCCTGCATTATCTTCAAAATAAAGAAACACCCCATCTTTTCTCAGGTATGACTTTCGTTGTCGTATTACCACTGCTGGACGTACCTTCTTTCTGAGCTCTGGCTTTCCTTTCTTGACAGTGGCCATCACCATGTCACCCACACCAGCAGCAGGAAGTCTGTTACGTCGTCCCTTGATCCCCTTCACAAAGATGATATATAGATTCTTGGCTCCTATATTGTCAGCACAGTTGATCACTGCTTCTCCAGGAAGACCCAGGGAAATCTGGAATTTTGCACCAGAGTACCCACCATATCCTCACTTCAATATCTTGGATGCCAGAAAACAAAGTGCACTGGGTTCTTTTAAAGAATTATTTATGTGACACTAATTTCCAGAAATAGAAATTTCAAGGTCAAACTGGTAGTTGTTTTCTAGGGTACACTGTTATTATATAAACACTGTTCTGGTCATTTTCCACAACAATGCCAACAAAATAGGGTATAAAATTTTTCTAAGTTCTTTCATCCTTGGTATGTTTTTAACTCTCTTAGTCAGAAGTGTTGTCCAATTTGCAAATTTTATCTCCTCTGCTCATATTATTAATGTAATATTTTTATGATTCACACTACGTGATGGCACGTAACAACAACAATAGGAATTTTAGTTTAGCAATGTTGATGATAAATATTTATCACGACAACTTAAAACTTGGTTCAGTTTTAAGCCTTTCTCATATATAAACTCATTATATTCTCACAACTCAGGACATTAGATGTTCTTTTCCCAAGTTTACAGAAGAGAAGATTACAACACAGAGGGCTTAAGCACCTTGTCCTGTTTGCACACAGCTGATGGTAGAGGATGTAGGAACTGAGAAGTACAGGCTGCCTCCCACGGCTGCACAGTTAACTATGAGCCATAGTGCTTCCCACACAACAAAGACAGGGTGGAGCCAGGATTCAATGCCAGAATCACCCTGTGCATTCACCAGCTATCCAGCTCACAATATCCTCTCCCTTTTGGTATCCCCATTTCTCTTTGGGGACACTTTGATTTGCATTTAGTCTGAGAGGTGGTGGCTGTCCCCAGGATCAAATTTGAAGGGAAACATTTCCCATCCTTGTCTCTGGACTTAGGCTCAGTCAACTGAGCTCTAAGGCAGTGATCAGAGACAGCCTGTATAACAACAACAACAACAGGATTTTCACTGGAGTAGAAAACAATGGTGTCCTGTTGAAAGATGCCTACACACGGTCTTTGAGTAGGACATCACAGTCTATTCCTTACTGGGAAAACCCAATGCATAGAGATTTGGTTAAAGTGCACCATGAATGTTCTGTTAGTCATGACTAAACACATCTCTAACATATGTGAGTATTGTGAGAGGAAGTACAAGAAACATATTTATTAAGAAGGTGGCTCACTCTCTGTCCTGGCAGCCTGGGAACTACAGAGAGAAAGGAGTCAGAGTTTCCTTTACAGGGAGAGGTCTCTGATGTGTCAATCACTGGAGGGGTGTGGTGGAGGGAGAAGGAATCAGGAAGTTGAATGAAAGATGGGAAAGTTGAGATGGGGAGAATTTCAGCCAACTCACCACAATTAAATTTATTCAGACTCAAAAGGACTTCATAGGGCAGAGTAGGATTGCTCCTGCAGAGTTTCTTAACAGAGGCAGATTTCCTTATTTTTCCTTATCTCCCTCCTATAGAGGGGTTGGTGCATTTAAGCCACTGACCCTTTCAGATGAGTCACTGCACCTTCAGGGTCCCTTAGAAAAGAGCTGGAGAAGAATCAGAGGACACGAGGCTGGTAACTGACTACCAAGGAGAAGCTGGTCCAGTGGAAGCCGGGCAGAAAGCACTAAGGGAAGGAATTGGTTTCAGTAAAAATTCTTCCATTGTTGTACAATCCCTCCCCCAGTCCACTTCTTTTAATTTTTATTTTATTTGTGTGTACCGTCAAGTCAGATCTGACTGGTACAGGAGGAGATTGTTCCTCCTTCTCCAGCAAAGCACCTGGTGGATTTGAACCGTGCTCCTCTGGGATTGCAGTACACCTTCTTGCCACTAGGCCACCAGAGCTTGCTCGGGAAGGAATTGGTTTCAAACAATAAGAATTTAGGAACTAAAAAAAAAAGAATTTAGGAACTGCAGGCAGTCTTGATTAGTCCTTACCTGCACCCTTCTTTATTTGTAGAAATTACCAGTTCTCTTGGAATGATAACTAGCAGATACAAATCTGAGCAAAACCAAACACAGCTCAACAACAAAGATTAATGTGAACTAGGCGTTATGCCAGTGAAGAAGTGGCTGGGCAGGAAGAGCCTTCAGATCCAATAATTCATGCCGTTCTCATTTAGGTACTGAAGCACACTGACTATCTGGTTTGCCCGAAGCACTGAGTTTAACTAAAGGATAATTCGGTACAGGCCACGTATCTAATGAGCCTTGAGTATAACTAGAGAGGCCATGATTAGCACATCCTCCTCCCCCCTAGAGTTTAATGCCCATTCTCCACACGAGCTGATATACAATAGAGGTTTTAAACTGAACCAGGTTTGAAGTTATCATAATACATATTTATCATGATTATCTAGAACCTATTGGCAATTGTGAGAATGACCCATGATGTTTTGTTCCGTTGCACATAAGGTCACCAAGCCTCAGAGTCAATTTGATGACAACAAAAGCACTAGGTGAAGTCTCTAGTACAGTGTCTGGCTCCGGCATTACCAAAAGTCCCTTTATTTCCCTTAGGACCCACTCCATCAGGGCAGAGCAGAGAGAGCTTGGTCTCTACTTCAGGACCCAAGAGCCCTCCTGATGCACATTACCTCCTCTGAAAGTGTTCATATTCAGCTTGTCTTCTTGCTTTTGCCTCTAGGAGCTCAGTCTTGTTATAGCCATCCTGAAAGTTATAACCATCCTGCCGTTTGAAATATCCACATCTGCACTGATTTTTTGGAAACAGCCTAAAACAAGTAAAAAGATGGTAAACGTGGATTGTGTGGGCAAATGAGATAGAATCTGGGGCCTAATTAGTGTGTACTCCTCACACCCAGTTTGGACTGATTGGGTTGAGACCCTTCTAACATAGCAGCAGCCCCTTCCAAAGTCTCAGGGAGGCTTAAGGCTGGAGGTAAGGATGGGCAGGAATGTTGAAGACTGCTCCTCTCTTGAATTATCCCTCACAACTCTTACATGACGTCTTTAAACCAACCTCAGAGCCCACATAAATGCAAGTGGCCTCTCTGCCTCATCAGAAGGGACAGAAAGGCAGACTTTCCTCCACATTTTTAGTCCAACAGACCCTCCAGAGTGTGAAGGGACTTCATAGGGTGTTACTACAGAACAAGTCCTTGCCTGATCTCCATAGTCTGAAATCTCTTTAAAGGTCAGCACTAGTTCAGGAAGGGGGGAAGCCATCTGTTTAATGGGCACAGTAAACTTTAGGAGGAATAAGGGAGACATTGGGACAAGGTAGAAGAGGGGGAAGGGAGAAGACAATATCTCACCATACGCCATTATAGGTAAAGAGGTTCCTCAGATGTTCCTCAGGTAAAAGCTTCAGCACCTGTGCTTCTGGAGCAGGACGTGGGAGCTCTGGTTTGAAGCTTCTGAACTCAAAGAACATACCTCCAAGCAGAACTAAAGTAATTATAGGTCCAAAGAGTGAGAACTTCTTGAGAAATCTAGAGCAGTTGGAGACAAAAAAGGAAATTAAGGGTTTTGGTGGCCTAGAAGGAAAGCAGGACTGGCATCCACTTCCTAAACAACATGCCTCAGGAAACTATGAACTCTGAGAAATGACAATAACTATAGAAAAGCTTCTGGTCTTCTGTTCATAGGGTCGTTATGAGTTGTGCTCAACTCAACGGCAATCAATAACAATAATGGTAAGAAATGGTAAGAAGCTACATTGCAATCCCAAAGGCATGTGGTTCAAATCCACAACTGCTCTGTAAGAGAAGGTTGGGAATTCTCCCCCTGGAAGATTTACTGCCTCTGAAACGGTACTGGAGGGTAAGCTATGAGATGGTTCTGACTTGACATCACACACCAATAGGCTGGTTTTCTACAGAAGCAAATACAACAGGGCATGGTATAGATAGGTGGATAATGCTCTTTTATTTTAAAAAATACTCTCTGGTGTTCTCTCTCTCTCTCTTTCTCTCTCATGCTCTCTCCCCTCCTCCCACCCCCCTCTCTCTCTGTACGTTTGCAAGTCCAAGGTCTCTAGGACCTCAGGAGATAGGCTTCTGGGGAGGCTAATGAATCTAATTCATCAGCAGGCAGTCTCAGACTGCTGGCTTCTGAGACTTGTCTCCAGAGGCAAATGAATCTAAAGATCAACATAGAGAGAGACAAGAAGCTCAAGAACTATACAGGTCAGGTCTTTGATCAACAAGTTTGACCAGATTCAGATTTGATTTTTTTACACAACTACTTCCTAGTTGATGATGGACAACTTTAAGGTCAGGAATAAACAAACGAGTTATTGGGACAAGTTAAAATGCAATAATAGGCTGGAATACACGCCGACATTTTACTTATCATGAGATATATTTATATTAAGACATAACACCATTAGCAGAAAATAGACTTTATGCCTCTACCTAGGAAGGTCAGTCATCTTATCAGACCTGCCTCAATTTGGAGTTGTAGCCAGCAGCTGGTTAGAGAAAAAAATTTCCTTTCTCATTAAAAAATAATTTCGTATTTTCTATGTGCTCAGTGATTCCCTAACTCTGTGGATCAAGACACTTTGATATCTTAGAAAGAACAAGAGGAAAGATCAAAAGGTCTTAATACATACCAAAACTTTTTTAAAACATTTGCCCAGTGAAAAACAACACTGAAATAAAAATGGTAATAAGCATGAGTCTACTAAAATGGTCCCTAACAAATGTGACAGCAAAGATTCAATTATATTAACCTAATCACAAGAAAAACATCAAAACACTGACAAAAAAGAATTTTTTTAAATTTCCATTCAATTTTATTTTCTTTGGCACCAAATTCATC